CCTCCCCTGGCTGCTCCCTCTCCTCCCATCCCATGCTCCCCCTGTCCCTTGCAGGGACACCCAGTCCCCAGCACCATTCCCACCTCCAGAAGGAGACAATCCCACCAAAGATCCATCCCATGGATCTGCAGCTTCCCCCAACACATTTCTGAGGATCAATCCCTTTTTCTGATGAGAACAAAAACAAAAATCCCCAATGCAGAGACAAACCCGTTTCTGTTATGTGAAGCAAAGCAATTCCATGTCTTGGCCTTGAAATCCATGGAATGCAACCATTTGGAATGTTCAAAACTGCCCCAGCCACCAGCAGAAGCTACTGACCCTTCTCAGAATACCTTTGTGGATAATCACACCAGCAAATCCATAATAAATCCAAATCAAATCCATAATGAATCCAAATTAAATCTGTATTAAATCCAAATTTAGTCCATATTAAATCCAAATTATTTGTCCATAATAAATCCATATTAAACTCATATTAAATCCGATCAAATCCATATCAAATCCATATCAAACTCACACCCTCGAGTCAAACCAAGGCCTGTCAGCCCCTCCAGTGGGATTCCCAATCCTGTCTCCATGATCCATGTTTCTCCCTGAAGTTTCCCCAAACAAAGTGGCACTTTAAGCCTTTCAGCTCCCTCCTAATTCCCAATTAACAAACTCCTGCTCCAGCTCCCATCTCCGCCTGGAGCGCTGGGATTTTCCTCCAAGATAAACACAGCCACACATTTTGGGGAGGGGAACTTCTCATTCCAAGAAAATCTCAGGGCAACGTGGCCAAATGACCTAATTATGAACAGATGAGGGGCACAAAAAGATGTTTTATAGGAACGGGGCTTCTGACAGTTCCTTTCCTTCCGCAAACCCGTGTGGATCGCTGGGGACGCCGGGAACTGGGAAACAATTCCCTCTCCAGGCTGGGAAGGGAGGAGAGCTGGCAACACAGAGCTCTTTTCATCTCCTGCCTGGGATTTGGGTTGCTCAGCCACAGGGGAAGAGCCCCACGAGGGCTCCTGGGCTCCAACGGCCCTGGAAAAGGGATGCAGGTTCCCTGGAATGGCAGATTCAGGGCTCGGATGGTCCTGGAAGCACCCCTAAAATGGGAAGTTGGAGGGAGAGCTCAACAGGTTCCTTGGATCAAGAAATTCAAGGCTCAGATGCATCCCCAGAATTAAAATTTGGAGGGTGAGCTCCCAAGGCCCTGGAAAAGAGATGGGACTCCACAAGTTACTTGGAATGGCAGATTGAAGGTTTGGATACAGCCCTGAAATTCAAAGTTGGAGGGCGAGCTCCAAAGGCCCAAGAAAAGACTCCACAAGTTCCTTGGAATGGCAGATTCAGGGCTTGGATACTCCCGGAAGCATCCCTAAAATGGAAAGTTGGAGGGACAGCTCCAAATGTCCCTAAAAAGAGATGAGGCTCCACAGATTCCTTGGGTCAGGAAATTTAAAGCTTGGATGTATCCCCAAAAATAAAATTTGGAGGGTGAGCTCCCAAAGCCCTGGAAAAGGGATGTAGGTTCCTTGGAATGGCAAAATCAAGGCCTGGATGCTGCTGGAAGCATCCCTGAAATCCAGAGTTGGAGCATGAGTTCCAAAGGTCTCCCTAAAAAGGGATGAGGCTCCACAAAGTTCTTTGGACCAGGAAATTCAAGGTTCAGATGCATTCCTGAAATTCAGACTTGGAGGGTGAGATCCAAAGGGCCTGGAAAAGGGAAGAGACTCCACAGGTTCTGTGGAATGGCACAGTCAAGGCTTGGAAGCATCCCTGAAATTGAAGGTTGGGGAGAGAACTCCAAAGGCCCAGGAAAAAGGAAAAGACTCCACAAGGTCCTTGGAATGGGACATTGAAGGCTTGGATTCATCCCCAAAATTAAAATTTGGAGGGTGAGCTCCCAAGGCCCTGGAAAATGGAAGAGATTCCTTAAGTTCCTTGGAATGGCAGATTCAGGGTTTGGATACTCCTGGAAGCATCCCTAAAATGGAAAGTTGGAGGGACAGCTCCAAATGTCCCTAGAAAGGGATGAGGCTCCACAGATTCTGTGGATCAGGAAATTTAAAGCTTGGATGTATCCCCAAAAATAAAATTTGGAGGGTGAGCTCCCAAGGCCTTCCCTGGAAAAGGGATGGGACTCCACAAGTTCCTTGGAATGGCAGATTCAGGGCTTGGATGATCCTGGAAACATCCTCGAAATTCAAAGCTGGAGGATGAACTCCAAATGTCCCTAAAAAGGGATGAGGCTCCACAGGTTCCTTGGATCAGGAGATTCAAGGCTTGGATGCTGCTGGAAGCATCCCAAAAATTCCCTGTTCAAAGCTGGAGGATGAGCTCCAAATGTTCTTTATCTCCCTTCCTCATAAATTAATATTTTAAAAGATCAATGTGCTCAGAATTCCCAGGAGCCAGCCTGTGGGAACAGGAGCTCTCTGGGATGGCTCCAAGGAACCATTTTGAGTCAAAAAAGGAACTCCTGGCACAATCTGTGGGAATTTTTCCCTCAGGAATCCCAGAGTGATCCAGGCAAGGGGTGGATTAGGGATGGCAGCAAAGCTGCTCCTGTCAGACAGAGCTGGCAGGGCAGGGAAGGTCTCCAAGGTGCAGCAAATGATCCATTTCAGAGGAATTCCTGCCCAAAACTCCTCCTTTTCCATGGAATAGTGAAATTACTGTGGCTAAAGACCAATTCTTGGAGAAAACAGCATCGGAATCTGACCAATTCCTGTCCAAAACTCTTCCATTTTTCAGGGATTAACAAAACTGCTGCATCCAAAAAAGGTATTCCTAGAGAAAACAGCATCAGGATCCAAACAATTTCTCCCCCAGAACTGCTCCATTTGTACGGAATAACAAAGTCACTGAATGCAAAGAATCCTCGGAGAAAATGGTACCAGAGAATCCAACCAATTCCTGCCCAAAATTCTCCCATCCCCACAGAATAACAAAATTACTGCATCCAAAGAGGAATTCTTGGAGGAAACAGCATCAGAATCCAACCAATTCTACCCTAAAACTCTCCCATTTCCAGGAAATAACGAAGTTAATGGATCCAAAGAATTCATGGAGAAAGTGGTATCAGAATCCAACCAATTCCTTCCCAAAATTCTCCCATTTCATAGAATAATGAAGTTAATGGATCCAAAGAATTCATGGAGAAAGTGGTATCAGAATCCAACCAATTCCTTCCCAAAATTCTCCCATTTCAATAGAATAATGAAGTTAATGGATCCAAAGAATTCTTGGAGAAAATGGTATCAGAATCCAACCAATTCCAGCCCCAAACTCTCCCATTTTCAATGAAAAATGAAATTAATGCGTCCAAAGAGGAATTCTTGGAGAAAACAATGTCAGAATCCAACCAATTCCTCCCCAGAATTCTCCCATTCCTACAGAATAATTCATTTTCCTTGGAGCAAACAGCATCAGATTTCAACCAACTCCTCCCCAAAACTCCTCCATTTCCAAGGAATAATGGAATTATTGGATCCAAAGAGGAATTCTTGGAGAAAAAAAAGGTCAGAAAACAACCAATTCCTGCCCAAATTTCTCTTATTTCAATGGAATAATGAAGTTTATGCATCCAAAGAATTCTTGGAGCAAACAATTCCTCCCCAAAACTCCTCCATTTCCAAGGAATAATGGAATTACTGATTCAAAGAGGAACTCTTGGAGCAAACAATGTCAGAATCCAACCAATTCTTCCCCAAACTCTCCCATTTCAATGGAATAATGAAGTTAAGGAATCCAAAAAATTCTCAGAGATAATGGAATCAGAGACCCCAATCAATTCCTGCCCCAAAACTCTTCCATTTCCATGGAATATTGAAATTACTGCATCCAAAAAAAGTATTGTTGGAGCAAACACATCAGAACCCAACCAATTCCTGCCCAAAATTCTCCAATTCCTACAGAGTAACAAAATTACTGATTCCAAAGAAGAAATCTTGGAGGAAATCAGAATCCAACCAATTTCTCCCCAAACTCTCCCATTTCAACAGAATAATGAAGTTAATGTATCCAAAGAATTCTTGGAGCAACCAATTCCTCCCAAAAATTCCTCCATTTTCAAGGAGTCATGGAATTACTGGATCCAAAGAGAAATTCTTGGAGAAAACAGAATCAGAACCCAACCAATTCCCGCCCAAATTTCTCCCATTCCTGCAGAATAATTCATTTTCCTTGGAGCAAACAGCATCAGAACCCAACCAATCCCTGCCCAAAACTCCTCCATTTCCATGGAATAACCAAATTCCTGCCTCCAAAGGGAAATTCTTGGAGAAAACAATGTCAGAATCCAACCAGTTCCTGCCCAAATTTCTCCTGTTTCAATGGAATAATGAAGTCAATGAATCCAAAGAATTCTCGGAGGAAGCAATTCCTCCATTTCTAAGGAATAACAGAATTCCTGCATCCAAAGAGGAATTCTTGGAGACAACAATGTCAGAATCCAACCAATCCCTGCCCAAAATTTGTCCATTCCCATGGAATAACGGAATTCCTGCATCCAAAGAGGAATTCTTGGAGAAAACAATGTCAGAATCCAACCAGTTCCTGCCCAAATTTCTCCTATTTCAATGGAATAATGAAGTCAATGAATCCAAAGAATTCTCGGAGGAAACAATTCCTCCATTTCTAAGGAATAACGGAATTCCTGCATCCAAAGAGGAATTCTTGGAGAAAACAATGTCAGAATCCAACCAATCCCTGCCCAAAATTTGTTCATTCCCATGGAATAACGAAATTCCTGCATCCAAAGAGGAATTCTTGGAGGAAAACCCAGCAACCAAGAAATACAAACACATGAAAAATTCCCTGTTTGGGACAGCAGGAGGAAATTCCCTTTGCATTTCTGTGCCATGCATGAAGGAATTTCATAGATTTTCCCCAAACCCATCCATATCTGGATTTTTTTCCTCCCCCAGGGATGGACATCCCAGGATAAAGGAGGGAGGGGCGGATCCATGGAATTCCCCAGAGCAGGAAAAGCCAGATTCACTCACCAGGACAGAGTAGATGTGGAGGCACCGATAGACCGGGGAGAAATCCACCAAATCCTGGGCTCCGGGCACCTGAAACAGGGAGGAAATCCATGAAAAACGCAGGAAACTCACCAAAAATCCACCAAAAACTGCAAGAAATTTAATTATGGGTAAGTGGAGCAGTAAAATATCACAGACAGACAAGTGAAATCCGAAAAAGAATCACATTTAAATAAGTTTATCACTCAAAAAATTATATTTAGGTGAATGAAACTATAAAAAAAATCAAATTTCATTAAGAGTCCCTAAAAAATTCCATCTATGTGCGTACAAGTCATAAAAATTTCATTTATAAATAAGTAGAACTGCAAAAAATTTAAATATAGGTAAGTGGAACTCTAAAATATCACAGACGGACAACTGAAATCCTAAAAAAAATTACATTTAAATAAGTTTGTCTCTCCAAAAAAAATCACTTTTATGTGAATGAAAATATTAAAAAGATCACATTTAAGTAAGTGTCACTAAAATAACCCATCTATGTGAGTGCAAGTCATAAAAATTTCATTTATAAATAAGTAGAACTGCAAAAAATTTAAATATGGGTAAGTGGAACTATAAAATATCACAGACAGACAACTGAAATCCTGAAAAAAAAATTACATTTAAATAAGTTTGTTGCTCAAAATAATCAAATTTAGTTGACTGAAACTATTAAAAAATCAAATTTAAATAAGTATCACTCTAAAAAATCCCATCTAAGTAAGTGCAAGTCATAAAAATTTCATTTATAAGTAAGTAGAAGTGCAAAAAATTTAAATATGGGTAAGTGGAACTCTAAAATATCAAAGAGAGACAATTGAAATCCTACTAAAAAATCACATTTAGATAAGTTTGTTGCTCCAAAAAATCACATTTAGGTGAATGAAACTATGAAAAAATTAAATTTAAATAAACATCACTAAAAAACCCCATCCAAGTGAGTGCAACTGAAACATTTCATTTATAAATAAGTAGAATGGCAAAAAATTTAAATATGGGTAAGTGGAACTCTAAAATACCACAGACAGAAAACTGAAATTCTAAAAAAGAAATCACATTTAAATAAGTTTGTCGCTCCAAAAAATCACATTAAGTGGATGAAACTATAAAAAAATCAAATTTAAATAAGAGTCACTAAAAAATCCCATCTAGGTGAGTAGAACTGCAAAAAATTTAAATATGAGTACATGGAACTCTAAAATATCACAGACAGACAACTGAAATCCTAAAAAAAAAATCACATTTAAATAAGTTTGTCTCTCCAAAAAAAATCACTTTTATGTGAATGAAAATATTAAAAAGATCACATTTAAGTAAGTGTCACTGAAATAACCCATCCAGGTGAGTGCAAGCCATAAAAATTTCATTTATAAATAAGTAGAACTGCAAAAACTTTAAATATGGGTAAGCGGAACTATAAAATATCACAGACAGACAACTGAAATCCTGAAAAAAAAATTACATTTAAATAAGTTTGTTGCTCAAAATAATCAAATTTAGTTGACTGAAACTATTAAAAAATCAAATTTAAATAAGTATCACTCTAAAAAATCCCATCTAAGTAAGTGCAAGTCATAAAAATTTCATTTATAAGTAGGTAGAAGTGCAAAAAATTTAAATATGGGTAAGTGGAACTCTAAAATATCAAAGAGAGACAACTGAAATCCTATTAAAAAATCACATTTAGATGAGTTTGTCACTCCAAAAAATCACATTTAGGTGAATGAAACTATGAAAAAATTAAATTTAAATAAACATCACTAAAAAATCCCATCCAGGTGAGTTCAACTTAAACATTTCATTTATAAATAAGTAGAACTGCAAAAAATTTAAATATGGGTAAGTGGAACTCCAAAATATCACAGACAACTGAAATCCTAAAAATAAATCACAATTAAATAAGTTTTCTGCTCCAAAAAATCACATTTAGGTGAATGAAACTATGAAAAAATCAAATTTAATTGTCACTAAAAAAAACCCATCTAGGTGAGTGCAACTTAAAAATTTCATTTATAAATAAGTAGAACAGCAAAAAATTTAAATACGGGTAAGCGGAACTCTGAAATATCACAGAGAGACAACTGAAATCCTAAAAAAACAAAAATATAAATGAAAGTCACTCCAAAAAAATCACATTTAGGGGAGTGTAGCTCTAAAGAAATTAAATTTAAATGAGCGTCAGTTCAAAAATTCCCACCCAGGTGAGTGTGGCTCATGAAAATTCCATGGGTAAATAAGGAAAACTGGAAAACAATTTAAATATGGGCAAGTGAAAGAGTAAAATTTCACATGGGGAGAAGTGAAATCTTCCAAAAAAATCGAATTTAAATGAAAGTCACTCTAAAAAAATCATACTTGGGTAAATGAAACTATAAAAAAATCACATAAATCATATTTGTTTTATCATAATTTATGTAAAAATATAATTTATCAAAATCTTTTATCAAGAATTACGTAAATTGGTGTCACTCCAAAATGCCAATTTTAGTTGAGTGCAACTCTAAAAAATACAAATTTAAATAAATTCCATGCTAAAAAAAAAAATCACATTTAGGAAAATGAAACACTAAAAAAATCACATCTAAATCAGTGTAACTCCAAAAAAATTACTTTTAGGTGAGTGTACATCTAAAAAATTTCAATTTAAATAAATTCCACTTTAAAAATCACATTTAGGTGAGTTCAGCTCTAAAAATCTCATCTAAATTAATGCCACTCCAAGAAATCAAATTTAGGTGAATGAAATTGTAAAAAATCACATCTAGATCAATGTAACTAAAAAAAAATCTGATTTTAAAAATGCTAATATTAAATGTGTCACTCAAAAAAATCACTTTTAGCTGAGGACAATTCTAAAAAATTAAAATATAAAGAAATTCCGCTCTCAAAAATCGCATTTAGGCAAATGAAACTATAAAAAAAATCCCATCTATATAAGTGTAATTTTTAAAAAATCACTTTTAGGTGAGTTTAGTTCTAAAAATTTCAAATAGAACAAAATTCCTCTCTAAAAATCACTTTTAGGTGAATATAACTCTAAAAATTAAAATATAAATAAATTCCACCCCAAAAAAATCAATTTAGGCAAATGAAACTATAAAAATATCCCATCTATATAAGTGTAACTCCAAAACAATACTTCTACAGACGTGCAACTCTAAAAAATTCAAATTTAAATAAATTCCACTCCAAAAAATCCTTTCTAGGTGAGTACTCTAAAAAATTTATATATAAATAAATTCCACTCTAAGAAATATATTTAGGCAAAAGAAATCATAAAAAAAAATCACATCTAAATCAGTGTAACTTCAAAAAAATACTTCTAGGGGGGTGCAACTCTAAAAAATTCAAATTTAAATAAATTCCACTCTAAAAAATCACTTTTAAGTGAATATAACCCTAAAAATTTCAAATAGAACTAAATTCCACTCTAAAACAACACTTTCAGGTGAATATAACTCGAAAAAATTCAAATATAAATAAATTCCTCTCTAAAAAAAATCAGTTTTAGTTGAATTTGACTCTAAAAAAATCCCATTTAAATAAGTTTATCACACCAAAATATCATTTCTAGGTGAGAGCAGCTCCAACACCAGAGGGTCCAAGGCAAAGCCAGGATCCCAGTTATGGAAAAATTCCATTTAATTCCTGAGATCTCCCCAAATATTCTGATTTTTCAGGGCCTTGGAAGCAGGAAAATGCCCTTTAATGTTGGTTTTGCTCCACTGAAATCCCATGGAACGCTGGGGCTCATTCCAGGCACGGAATCCAAGGGATGCTGGCACCACACACACAACAGAAAGTGGGAAAAAAGGCAAAAACCAGGCAAAAAAAACCCAACTCATTCTTGGGATTTCACATTGGATTTGCTTGACAGCCCCATTTGGGTTTGATTTTTCCCGGTTTTTCCCCTGGGGAAGAGGCTGGGTGGGATCAGAGGGGGAATTTGCATTTTGTGTCCTTTGGGGATGTTCCCTTGGCTCTCCTTGGGGGCCGGAAGCTGCAGCACCCCAAATCCCAGGAAAAGGGGTGGGAAAAGGGGCAGGGATGGACGGGCCATGGACAGCCCTGGAAATGGGTTTGGGGTTTCAATGAGGCTGGGGGGAGCTGGGGGCTCAGGGAGCATCCTGGAGGCTCCTCGGGAGGGATGGGGAGGGAAAACCGGGATTGGGATGAACTCCTCTGTGAGGGGGAAATGGAGCTGGTAAAGGATCATCGCAGGGTGTGAGGGAAATCAGCCCTGGCTGGAGCTGAAATGGGGGATCCCAGCATCCCAGACTGGTTTGGGATGGTTTGGGATCCCTTAATGGCCACCCTGGGGTGATCCCAGTGCTGCAGGATGGGATTCCCACACCTGCACCCTCGGGATTTTATGGGATAAACTCCTCTGTGAGGGGGAACTGGAGCTGGTAAAGGATCATAGGGTGTGAGGGAAATCAGTCCTGGCTGGAGCTGAAGTGGGGGATCCCAGCATCCCAGACTGGTTTGGGATCCCTTAATGGCCATCCTGGGGTGATCCCAGTGCTGCAGGATGGGATTCCCACATCTGCACCCTCGGGATTTTATGGGATAAACTCCTCTGTGAGGTGGAACTGGAGTGAAAGAATCTCCTCCATGCAAGGAAAATCAGATCTCAGCACTGCAGAAGGGCCTGGCTGGAGCTGGAATGGGGGATCCAAGGACCCCAGAGTGGTTTGGGATGAGAGGGACATTAATGCCATTCCTGAAGTGATCCAGGATGGGATTCCCGCATCTGCACCCTCGGGATTTTATGGGATAAACGCCTCTGTGAGGTGGAAATGGAGCTGGTAAAGGATCATAGGGTGTGAGGGAAATCAGTCCTGGCTGGAGCTGGAATGGGGGATCCCAGGATCCCAGGATCCCAGACTGATGTGGGATGGGAGGGACCCTAATGGAGGGAGGACCCTGAGCTGCTGCAGGATGGGATTCCCACATCTGCACCCTCAGGATTTTGTGGGATAAACTCCTCTGTGAGGGGGAAATGGAGCTGGTAAAGGATCATCGCAGGGTGAGAGGGAAATCAGCCC